GCCCCAAAAGGTCAGCCACCACAGATCTAAGGTATGCATCACTCCCCCCCACTCCCTTTCTGCTGGCAACTCTAAAAGACCAGATAAAATATTTTTGAGTTGGCCTAAGACTTGCAGTGATTCGCTTAACAAATGTGGCAAGGAAAGTTGTAAAATGGGACCAGCCTCACGGAACAAATTTTTCACTCAGCAACTTTGGCGATCTTCTGACAAGCCAAGTCAATGGGGAAGCCAGATGTCGTTTAACCGCCTAAATTGCCAACTTAACAACTGCAGTGATTCGCTGCAGTGACAAGCAAGGTTGTGAAATGTTACAGAGCTCCCTTAAACCACTGTCTTGCTTAGCAACAGAAACATTGGGCTCCCTGGCGGTGGTAAGTCGAGGCCTTACCTGTACATTGCATCGCAGCTCGTTTCAGGAACTAGGGTTTTGGAGTGTTTTCTCCAAACTCTGCATTTTCGGATGAATTATGAAAGTGCCATTTGACTTTCCCTCTTGAAAAAAGAAAAGAAATAAATAATGGAGAGGAGTAAAAAAATAATAATAAAGAGTTAAACGAGAGGAAAGCATATGGATAAAGCCAATTTCCTAAGCATCTGTCTTCTTTCTCCCATCTGCTCCCTTTGGCTTGGCTCTCGTCCCTTTCTGCCAGAATGGTGAGGTTTTTAAAAGATGATCAGAGTTCATTCTGCTATTCTATTGGCCATGGTTGAACTGGAGAAGGCAAGCCTCGTTTTCTCTCTGATGCGGAACGGCTTTCTGAGGACTTGGAAGCCATCCGTTTCCAGTGCTCCAAAAAAATAAAAAATAAAAATCTAGGGTTTGCTGCTGCAAGACATCCTGTTTTGTTTATCTCGAAATCTGTTGCAAATAAACATTTTAATGTGTCGGGCCCCAGCTTTCTGGAAGTGCAAGGCAGTTGCTCATCATACAGAGGATGAGAAAATGGAAAAGTAAAAACAAAAACTAGCAAAAAGAAAGAGAGAGAAGGAAGGAAGGAAGGAAGGAAGGAAGGAAGGAAAGAAAGAAAGAAAGAAAGAAAGAAAGAAAGAAAGAAAGAAAGAAAGAAAGAAAGAAAGAAAGAGAAAGAAAGACTATCTTGGTTTGTGTCTGAAGACTTTTTGTTTGGAATATTTCTTGGCAACTTAATCTAGTGCTTTTGGCAGCCTTGCACAACCTTGGCAAAGCTCGTTCTTATCAGAGACAATTAGTTTTAATAGCCTTTTAACCGTGCATTAACGGAATTCGCAGAGAAGCATTAAAAGCATTAAATCCACTATTGACCTCACCCCATTCCTAAGAGATCTGTAAGGGGCGTGCATAAGCACACCATTGTGCCTACCATCCCTGTCCTATTGTCCCCATTTATTCATACCTATTTCCTGTATTCTTACTCAGGTTAAACTTATACCCATTATCTTGTAAGCAATTGACAAATCAAATAAATAATAAATAATATCAACGGGAAGCTAGCATTACTAACTTAACAGCTGTAGTGATTCCCTTAGCAACGGTGGCAAGAAAGTTGTGAAATGGAGAAAAACTCACTTAACAACAATCCCACTTAGCAACAAAAAAAAATTGGGCTCAATTGTGATCATAAGCTGAGGACTGCTCTGTGATCTGCTGGAGAAATCTCGTAAAAGCAGTGGTTTCTACTCATTGTAGATTTAAGAGTATAAATGGATTGTATTTATGAACCTTTGGGGACTTGATTCTCAAGAACAGTTATGCTTGGCTTTTAAGTTCTTTGGTAGACTGTTCCAGGATTTCGCTCGTATATTTGGAGGAGAAATATTGTTTCTGTGACTAACCCTCAATCATGCGTGAAGAATAGAATGATTCATGATTCAAGTGACTCAAGGCAAGGGGGCAGGAGAAGATCTTGGCTTGGCTACAGGTTGGCCAATAGAGATATATCTCAGATGATGATCATTCCTGATCCTGGTTACGGACATAGATGGGCTTTGGTGTTCCTCACTTTCAAAGAACTAAATCAAGACCCCTTTTGGTCTAATTATCTTCAACTCTCTGGTTCTCCTGTTTTACGTCTTGGAAGTTGGCCTGGTCAATCAGTCAATGGCTGCAATCTGGTGGGGATGATGATGATGATTATGATGATGATGATGATGATGATGATAATGATAGAATAGAATAAAAGAGTTGGGAGGGACCTTGGAGGTCTTCTAATCCAACCCCCTGCCTACACCACTTCAGACAAATGGTTATCCAACATCTTTTTTAAAACTTTCAATGTTGGAGCATTCACAACTTCAAGAGGCAAGTTGTTCCACTGATTAATTGCTCTAACTGTCAGGAAATTTCTCTTTAGTTCTAGGTTGCTTCTCTCCTTGATTGGTTTCCATCCATTGCTTCCTGTCCTTCCCTCAGATCCTTTGGAGAATAGCTTGACTGCCTCTTCTTTGGGGCAGCCCCTGAGATACTGGAAGACTGCTATCATTGTCTCCCCTAGTCCTTCTTTTCATTAGACTAGACACACCCAATTCCTGCAACCGTTCTTCATATGTTTCAGCCTCCAGTCCCCTAATCAGAGATATGATGATATCCATTCAGTCATGTCTGACACTATGGTCCAGGTCTCTCCACATTGTCCAATCTTGGACTACTTCTTTGAGTTTTTCTATGCTCTGGCTGGGGTCAGCTTTGATGGCATCCAGCCACTGTGTTCTTTGACGACCTGGTTGCCTTTTACCGCTAAGGTGAAATGATAGAGTGTTGCAAAGTATCAACAAAACCATCCTCAAATCCTCTCACTCATGAGATTTTGCTGCAGCCACTCAACATCTCAGTTGATTTGAGATTCTCATGGTAGATGTGTATGGACATCTATGGAGATTCTCTGTCATCCAGGTCATGGGTTGTCCCAAAGGTGCTTTTTCAAGAGGCAACTGGACTTTCTGTTTTTTTCTTTTGAAGATGTTTTGCTTCTCATCCAAGAAGCTTCCAAGACATTTCGCTTCTCATCCATGAAGCCCACATCCAGTCAGAGCTGGAGAAGCTTCTTGGATGAGAAGCGAAACGTCTTCAAAGAAAAAACAGAAAGTCCAGTTGCCTCTTGGAAAAAGCACCTTTGGGACATGTGTATGGACCTTTTCATGTTTGTAGATAACTGGATTGCAAACTCTTACCCTGTGAAGCACAATGCATATTGTTGATGGAAAGTGAACATGTGAATCTCTTTCGATCACAACTCTTATCTCATGTTCTTTAGAAGCAAGTGTGTGTATGGGTTATGTTTTTGGTGGAGAATGGTCTTTCAAGAAGGGCTTAGGTGAAGGATGGAGATATATCACAGTCACTTAGTAATCTTGGTTAAAAATAAGGACCGTAACTTCAGTCCTGGAAGCCTTGGAATATCACCCTGACTTCAGATGGATTTTGTCTTCTGCAAATGTCAAAAGAAACCGACTCATGCAAATCAAGCGGCTACATTGGCGGAACAACAATAAGCTGTGTTGAATTTCGATTTTATAAAAGTTTACCTTGTCTTCCATTTATTTGTTCTTCTTTCTGTTTTGTTTGAAGGTTTCATAAGGTGTTTTTTTTTAAAATGGAATGGTTCTAGTTAGTCCAGTGAACTGTGGCGCCAGCATCTGCTTTTGAAGTCACCATTATAGTTTAGGGAAAGCAAATGATAGCAGGGTGATAAGCAGATGCTACCCAGAAGAGCTGTAGCTAAAAGAGAAATGAATGCGAGCTTTAAACAAGTGTTAGTTCTATAGAATGTCCTCGTTCTGCTTTCTCCACGGTCTGGGAGATAAGCCAATTTGGAACTAATGTAGCATAACTGTGGCAAGCAGTGAGGCTCAAAATTGGGGATCACCAGATTATAGATCACGTGTAGATCCCTCTTCCTCCTCCTCCTTCCCTTCTCCTTTTCCTCCATTCCCCATACCCCTCTTGCCTCTAGCACTGATGATATTAACTAGTGGGGTGATGAAACATCTACAAGAAAACAACCAAGTTCTGAAAGCACCAAGGTCCCACAGTCTCCCCTCACCCCTCCTCCTCCTCCTCCTCCTCCTGGATGAAATGAGCATCAACAATGCTCTGTTGTTGCCCTATGATTGCTAACTTCAAATTGGCTAGCTCAGATTGGCTAACTTAATTCATCCAAAATCCAAGAACTATTACGTGGAATTAAAATTCGGCAAACTTGTGGTTTCTTCACCACTGTTGTGCCGCTGTTACAGTCAAGTGATCCTCATATCCAGTGCTCCCTGCCAGCCTCCCAATAGAAGAGTCAATGGGGAAGCCAGCAGGAAATTGGAAGTCACTTCCTCTCCTGCTGCTATTTTGCCACCCATGGACATTCTGTGTCTCTGTTTAGGTAAGGAGATATCACTGAAAGGATGACCCAGTTGGTCACTGGTTGTCCGTCTAGCGTGGGAAATCAGGGGTCTGGACAGTTCCAATGTATGTAAAACTTTTATTGCAAGTTTAAACTCTCTATAAGAATCTGAACTACTAACGGCCAAAGCAAATTGGCAGTAGATAAGAGTCAGTGACATTCAAGGGGGTAGGACTTTGCTCTGTTCTGGGTGATGACACACTTAAGACTGATGACACACTTAACCTCAGGCTCAGCCTGGTCATCTCCTTATATCAGGGCTGTCAAACTCATGCTGTCACAGTGGCATCCTGTGACGTATCCGGCCTGTGGGCCATGAGTTTGACACCCCTGTCCTACATTGTCTAGTTTAAAAATAATTGTCTAACCATATCTGATACAAAGCCTTGATAGGGTTAGGTGTCCAAGTTGAAGAAAGCTACTGTAGATTTTCCACCAGGTTGAACTTCATTATTCATCTGATCTGGTAGGAGAAAGGGTCAGCTGGTCAGTAGTGCAGTTTTCCAGGTAAGCCTTGGAAGCACCTGGAAAACTCAATAAAAAAAATAGACCGGTGTATTCTTGTGCAGTGGAAAACACACTGTTGTAGCAACATGTCACAAACGTTTCTTTTTCCCCTACTTATAGGATGGCTATTTTTCCCACCGGCCAAAGGAGAAGACGCGAACAGACAGCAACAATGAGAACTCTGTCCCGAAGGACTTCGAAAACATTGACAATAGCAATTTTGCTCCCCGGTCCCAGAAGCAGAAGCATCGCCCAGAACTGGTGAAAAAGCCCATCAGTGCACAGAAGGAACGCCTGCGGAGAAAGCTAGAACAGGAGGAGAAAGCCAAGGAGAACTCTGTCCTCGGGAAAAACGTCCATGAGCGGCTGCCCTTGGACAATTCTGCCCCTAAACCCAACAACAATGGCAACTCCCTGAAAGACACCCCAAGGTCCCTCGCGCAGCCTCATATGAAACGGAGTGGGAATGGTTCTCCTGAGCTTGGATACGATCAGCTGCCAAAATGTGACATTTCAGGCAAGGAAGCCCTCTCGGCTCTATCCAGGGCTAAATCCAAGCAGTGTCGTCAAGAAATTGCCGAGACCTACTGTCAACACAGGCAAGGGAAGCTGATGCCCGAGCAGGTGACTCGTTTCTGCCCGCTGGAAGGTAAGCTGGAGGAGAAAAGGGAGAAGGGTCTGCTATACGGCGTGTCTGTTATAAAGAGCCATGATGGCGCAGTGGCCAGAGTGCAGTATTGCAGGCTAACTCTGCCGACTGCCAGCAGTTTGATTTTCACTGGCTCAAGGTTGACTCAGCCTTCCATACTGGGCTCCTATGGCTGGAGGTGGTGCACTGGTCAGAATGCAGTATTGCAAGCTAACTCTGCCGACTGCCAGCAGTTTGATTTTCA